CCTTCTGTATCTACAAAGTGCATATAACGCTAAGTGCTTGGCTGATTTTAGAAAGAGACTAGCTATAATTGATGTAAGATGTGAAGAAAAAGACAACTCTATCAGCACGTACCTATATATACTGCCTTGCCTTGGAGACCGCCATAATCCATGGGAATTTGAACGTTCACTGCAAGTTGTATCCTGAATTTTGAAGCGTTTTAACCACTAGAAACAAAAATGAAGCTATTTCTAATACACAGGAAGTACAAATGACAACAATTACCCAAGTTGCGTTTTACCAATTCCTGGCACCCCACCTGAAACAATCAGAAAATAATTTACCTTCACTTGACAAGAACTGCAAACATGTCGTCTTAGAAATGCCAATAAGCAAGAGTGAACACCTTATGATATGTTAGTAATGGGCAAGCATATGTAGAGGTTAAAACACTAACCAATTTCAGTAACCTCTCTGCAACTTATACCCCCACCCAAGATGTCGTCCAACTCTGAACAGGATGTTGTGATACGTCCAAGCGATTTCTCCTCGTTTAGCATTTCCCAGGCACTCTGTGCTCCTATACCCAAGATACACATAACTAAATATGCTTCCTATTTGCCAAATAATCAAAGCAGAAAAAATGACACTACATGCTACTGTCAACAAGTCACACTGAAACAAACTTAATCATTGAACAAATGACCTCATAATTGTAAATTACTGTAAGTATTACCTAGATGACTTCTAATGGACAAAACATCAAGTTTTCAAAAGGAGAGAGAATAGTAGTAATAACATACCATTGACAATAGAGCTAGTTCCATTAGATCTTTCCGATCCCCTCCTTTGTGATGCAACTCTCAAAATCTCAAGCGCCTCATTTTCTGAAATCTTTAGATCTATAACAGATAAAGTAAAAGCAATGAAATATTCTACATATGCATAAAAACACTAATTAGGAATAACATTGGTGTCACTCGTTAAACAAAACTTAATCTGTTTTAGTGTCCATCACACTTAATCAAAAAACTATAACTGAAAGAAAATGAAAGTCATGCAAATTTAAGCTTCTCTTTGTTGTAGCTCCAAGCTTATTCTTTTCCTAATTCTCCTAAAAAATGAGTTCCCCTTACATCCAGCGGCAGAGCTATAATGGTGGCTGTGGGTTCAGCAGAATCCAGTAACTTTGTCTCAAACTTTGCATGTGTTAAAGGCATAATACATAAACCGACACTCCAACTGTCAAGTAATCCCTCCAACTTTGCATGTGTGATTAAGGCATAATACATAAACCGACACTCAAACTTGGCCTCAACTGTCAAGTAATCCCTCCAACTTTGCATGCACATCTAGACACCTCCATCTGACAATAATACACTCCAACCCGTCCCCACTGTATTTGATGGACACCTAACACTGACGTGAATTGGGTTCTTACAAGTGGAATTAGGGAGAATCTAGTTTTCATATGTTGAAATAATGTTTAATTTGATCACCAGTTAAGGTGCCGGACTCAAATTTTGAGCTCCAAGTTGATGCTTGAAAGGTTTTAATAATCTTCTGTTGGAAATATGTTATTCCTTTCACTAGGAAAGGTTAATTGAACTAAGGAGAGGTGGAGCCAGGATTTTTAGTTTATGGCTTCTGAACCACAATTGGCGGGACTCTTCTGGAATATGATAATTTCGTAATGATCAGCGAATTACAAGGTCGATAACTTGTTTTCTAATTCATATACATACAAGAAGATCAAGTAATATGTATCTTGATTCAGTTCCTTGATCTTTTTGATGCTTAGAATTCGAAATCTTTTGTTGTTTAATTTTAGCTTCAATGGCGGAGCTGAGAACAATAGCTTTTGTTTTACAAAAATTGGAAAAATATGAAATGAGGTTTGATTGAAAAAAGAATTTCGAGAAAACTTCTAATTGTTTCGAAAAACTGGAAAAATTAAAGATCATTTCATTATTTTTTGAAACAAACACCACCTTAATACTAGTTAGAAATGTGTTGATTGAAGAATTTGGAAATGGAGTCTGGAGATTGAACGAGTTGAAGGATGATGCTAGATTTCCTATAATTTTTTATTTTTTTTTAACCGAGAAATCCGTCTGTGACCCGCCCTTTGGACCAATCACAACCTTCTAAACTCGGTGGATAATGGGCCCGCCCCTCTACCCTTCTCCACTTAAATACCGGGCTTTGCTTTGCATGGTGTGGGGCTTGAACCTGCGACCTAAGCCACAAATCCTCCACCTTTTGCCACTCAAGCTCCTATAATACTGGAGCTAAACTGACAAATGAGTAATACTGGACACAAACGGAAAGCAGAGTTGCGCAACAGTAAAGATTATTCAACATAGAGCAATAGTTTTATTAGCACAAATCTCATCAGGAACCAGATCTAAGACCCGCCTCCTCAAATGTCGAGAAAACACTGTAAGCTTAATGCAACTACTTCGAAAATCTTCTGATTATCTGTTAGCAAAATTCGACAGTTAAGACTCATGACTATATGAATGCATGCATATCTCCTACACATGTACTTGGACTTTTATAGGAGATTAATGCACATGCAATGTATATAGATAACTAATGGTATAACAATACTTAGATACACTCGTGGATATGAATGTCTATATATTAAATACATACACTTAGAAGAAACATACATCACAGATTTACATATTTGAATGTAGAGGAAGGATTAATAATCTTTATTTATGGCGACTCTTACCGTAAAAAAGAGACTTTAGAAACTATATAAAGGGATCTTGGTCCTTCTCTTAACTCAACCAAATTTATACATCCCATGATTATATAACAAATTTAAAGTGAGTTAGGAGAGTGAAGATCAAGACTGACTCTATATTGATGAAAACACCAACTCAATCCTACATGATGAATGATCAAATAAACTCAAACAAGGACTCAAGCCAAATAAACCGACAAATTTCCCCAAAAACTCTAGTATTATAGGAAATCTAGCATCATCTCGTTCAATCTCCGGACTCCATTTCCAAATTCTTTCAATCAACAAATTTCTAACTAGTATTAAGGTGGTGTTTGTTTGAAAAAACAATGAAATGATCTTCAATGTTTCCAGTTTTTCGAAAACAATTAGAACTTTTCTCGAAATTATTTTTTCAATCAAACCTCATTTCACTTTTCCAATTTTGTAAAACAAAAGCCACTGATCCCAGCTCCGCCATCGCCGTAAAATTACAGAACAGAGGAGCAGTATATAAAATTTCGAATTCTAAGCACCAAAAAAGATCAAGGAACTAAATCAAAATACATAGTACTTCGACCTTGTTGTGCGTATACGAATCAGAAAACAAGTTATCAACGCTATAATGCACCAATCATTACAAAAATTATCAGATTCCAGAAGAATTCCGCCAATTGTGGTCCAGAAGCCATAAACTAGAAATCCTGGCTCTGCCTCTCCTTAATTCAGTTAACCTTTCCTAGTAAAAAGAATATCGTATTTCCAGCAGAAGATTATTAAAACCTTTCAAGCATCATACAACTTGGAGCTCAAAATCTGAGTCCGGCACCTTAACTATCGATCAAATTAGACATTAATTCAACAAATGAAAACTAGATTCTCCCCAATTCCACTAGTAAGAGCCCAATTCAAAGCGCCTCTCTTTCTCTACATATATTTCACTACGCGAAAACAAATAAACTAGCTAACTTATAAACCGATTGCTAATCAATTCAAAGACAGATTCAGAGCATTAATAGTAATAAATTTGACAGAGAGAAGAAGTATACCGCGGGCAATATCGGAGTGAGAAACGGAAAAGAGAGAAGATATAGAAGTGTAGCCGCCGGAGATAAGCTTCGCTCTCAGCGACGCCGATATCGGAAGACTTGAAACTTCCATCACAATCTTTTCAGGGTTTTCCCGCTCAAAATTGGAGCTAAATGACAAAATGGTCATGATTTATTCAAAGTAATTTCTTAAACATATTCTAGAAATTTTAATTTATTATTAAGTTAATAAAAAAAGATGTATTTTTGGATTTTTGTTAAATATTTTAAATAAACTCTGTTTAGATTTGAATATTGTGGAAAAAGAAAGTTAATCAACAATATTGATAATAATGATATGGGAGTCTATCAATGGAGTTTTAATAATTAATTAATTGACTCTTTGGTAGTGGCAAAATTTTTATTCAAATATAACGAATTTCTTGAATAAATGCTTGTGAATAGTAATTTTCAAGAGAATTATGAAATATTAATTAAAGTATTTAATAAGATTTGTTTAAATGTCATGCACGATTACAAGTTGAATCAAAGAAGGTAAGTATTGATTTGGTTACTATGGATAGCAAGGATGTTTTGCTTCATGCATTCGTCGAGAAGTTTATGATATAATAAGAATAGCTATGAAAAAAGTGATACAAGATGGACGTAGGAAGCTCAGCTGTAGTGTGAAAGGTGCAGTAGATATAATTGAAGAAAAATATGAAGGCTACTCGGAATATGAATGTAGCTTGTGAAGATATTTAGAATATCTGCATATCTAAAGCAAGACGTGTTTGTACATATTTCTAGAAGTTTTAATATTGTAGCTCATAACGTAGCTAAGTTTTCAACTTCTTTGTTAATTTTTCTTGGGAACGAATATTTCCAAGTTAAATTGTAAATGTTGTATGATTCTTTAAACATATTATATCGGTAATGAATTAACAAATGAATGTTTTGAAGAAAAAAAACTTTAATAAAAAACATTAGAAAAATTCCATCAAATACTCAAAACAATAAGCTAGACACTAAACTAAACTTTAAATAAAAAAGCAAATGTTGCACCAAACTCTTTAAGGAATAGACCAAAAATAATAAAAACACTTCTAATTTCTAAATGTGAATTTCTGCTGAATGGCCATAAAGATTATATCATTTGAACACGTTTAATTAGAAAAACAAAAAAAATGGGTCAAAATACTGTGTGAAATTGAATAAAAATGCCCTTAACATAGCTGAATTTTTAAAGTACAAGATGGAAAACTACCAAATGCAGGAGGCACTAAAATATGATACAACATCAAAATACACAGTTTTACCCCACAGGCTCATTGCTCTTGAATTATGGTTCTTTCAAGCTTTCAGCTCACCAATTTTCGAATATGATTTTACATATTCGAATCATGATTCTAGGCAAACCACTTTATATAAATATCTACACGTTTGTGGATGTGCGTTGTAGAAAAGTCTTTGAGTTGTTTAAATTGCAGACTGTGACTCTTGCTTGATAGATGCCTTAATGAGAGAGGTAAGTGATGGATGCATCCGTGCTGTTCTCATTGAGCGAGCTTCACTTTTTCCTTCAGCATATTCCTCACCGAGAGGCCACCTTGGGCGCAAATCAAGCTGATCAAGGGAGCAATGGATCATAATTAAACATGGTAAGGAGAAGGGTGTGGGAAGGGGGCTTCAGGGAACAGGAAGTAGAACTACAGAAATTCAATAAAGCAGATCAGTTTAACATGTAGGCGTTTATTTTGATTGAATAATCGCATGACTTTTGGCAAACTTAACTTTCAAGGCACAAATCTATGGCTTGTCATACTCAATCAACGTAACTATAGGACATTATGGCCAGTTTTGAGTTAAGGGAAGAAAAAGACTAACCACGGCATCTTCTGGTTCATTTGCGGGAGGTGGAGGATCAAATCTGCCCAGACGGAAATGCTCAAGGCCAGTCCACGCAACCATTACACCTATTAGAACAGGTCAACGTATTAGAGTGCAATGTCAAGCCATTTGCACTTTTGAGCTAAAAATTATCCACGAGACAATCAACCTAGAGGCAGTGCATGCCAATTTACTTCACTCAGTAAGAGACATGACCTTTCCTCTGAAGCCTTGGAAACTTAAAAATTAAGAATCCAAAGTTCCTGTATGAAACTGAGGCAACGTAAGAAGGAGAATTGTCTAACCATTGTCAGTACAAAGGCTTGGAGGGGGGCATACAAGTTTCAGCCCTTTCCTTTTCACAACCTCATCAAGCCGAGCTCTGACATACTTGTTAGATGCAACACCTCCAGACACTACCTGTGAAAGGTAAATTGGACAATTAGCATAATTGACATTAAGCTTACAGGATCATGTGAAACTAATACATTAGACTATTAGAGTAAAGCCAAGGAGGAAGATATTAGTCATAGAAAACTGCAGTAAACAGAAAACACTGACCAAATGATTTATGGAAGGCTCTATGTTCAAACCCCACTCGATTGCCCGTTCACACTTTTCCTCCAAATGTAATACCGCAACTCGCTGCGTGAAGCGTTCATTACAATGTAAATGAGATTTAAGAATATGGAAGAGGTATAGGAAACAGATCCATTGATTTGTTAACCAATACTTCTTAATTATAAACAAATTACAACAAGATCAATCTTCTATAAAATCTATATACCTGGAAGGAGGCAGCAATATCTGCCCGAGCCTGTCTTTCTTCATCAGAAGCTGAAGCAAGAGAGATTTCAGCATTGCTGCATACAACCTACAAAATGTGAGTAGCTAGGAGGACGAGGACAATGACAACCAACTGATGTGCATTGTTGTCCTAGTGATTCATAAAACCTTACGATCATAAGACAAAGCTAAAAGCTACTGTACTTTCTGGACCATGGTTTACAGAACACTATCCTAAGGTAACATTGTAGAAAGAGGAAAAAACAAGAGCTTTGACCAGACAGGTTGTTTCCATATATTGGATAATCCACTCTTTACCTCATTGGGAATGGAAAATCAATTTCTATAATTCGAAAAGAACAAAAAACAACGCAATGATATTGGTGGTAAAGTTTAAAATGAAATGAAAATGAAAAACACTTTGCAGAGCTGATCAATAACTTTTATTCCCTAATGAATCACATACATTCTTTTTGCTTCAATTGCCAACCTCACTTGCGTCTTCAGACCAGCATATGAGAAGTTGCAATCCTTGTGTTGTTTCATAGGGACCTAAAACTCATTCAAACTTTTAGTCAATTGGGCAAACAATATCACTTCTAAAATTCCTTAATAGAGAAAACCCGGAGACGTATTGCATATAAGTGCAAATGTCTCTAAAGTAACTTACTTTAAATTTGACAGACTTGGCATCTCCTTCTTGAGCTAGCTCCTCTACAGCAGGGCCCCCGCTCTTCCTCAGATCAAGACCAAGCCATTTTGCTGTTTTGTCATATGCCTCACCAATTGCATCATCAATTGTTGTCCCAAGCTGTATGTAATCGCCAAGATCACGTGCAAGGATTAAAAGATTATGGCCTCCTAAAGAGCATATGAATGAAAGAAAATCCAGTATGTTATTGATATCTAATTCACAGGAAAATACAACTGGTCAAATTGTTTTTCATTATGAAAACTGCATTTTATGTTGTTGAATTGAGAAACATATCCAATATTTAGCATACATTGGCTTAAAGGTTCAACAATTCAATTTTCGTAACTTTTTAGATAAGTCAGGTCCCTTGGGAAAAGAAACTAAAAGAAAAAACACACACAAAGATCACAAATAATATACTTGAATTGAATCAACCACAAGATGTTTGATTGTATATATGAGAGATTTTCATCTTGCAGGATACAATCGAAGGATTCATAAGCATAACAATGAATATCATGAGCATCCGAACAAGCATATGAAAGACCTTTAGACACAAATTAAACTGCCAAAAGATGTCAAGACTCTCTGGGTAGTGGGACATTCAGTAACAAATCCTAGATCTTTTATATTCAAGTGATGTTCCAAGGTGAACTGATATAGATAGCACCATAAGATGGCTGTGCAATAAGAAGGCCCAATAAGAATTAGCACAATACTATATAGCTTGGCCATATATATCTAAAACACAGGAAAAGATGACCCAATGTATTTTCAGTAAGAGTAAATAAAACAGACCTATAAAATTGTAGAAGGTTATCTAACCTGAGACAAGTAGGGCCATAAAAGGAAACTGCAGTTCTCTGTCTACTAGCCTGAAAAGAGAAAACATTAGTTCCAGGTGGTACAGTACACTGAGTTTACAAATATCTTGAAGCATACAATCTTCATAGAAACTTCGACTTATCTGTAAGCATAAGATAGGCGGGCATTTTAGACACTTTGGCAACTTTCTGTAAGCTAATGTAAAAAACAATGGTGGAGTTGAGGAGCACTCCATGGGCGACTACATTTTCTCCTCTCAGCTTATTCATATCTGAGACTCCAAGGTCAATGAAATCATCTGTAATTACTACTTAAAAGGGTTCCAGTAGAAGAAAAGAAAGGGGAAAAGTGAAGTAGAATACAGACAAAAATCTTGATTACCACCTCATACCATGCAGCCAATATTTGTGATTGATAAATCTTTGTTTCTCAAGGAGACAGATAAGTGCTCTAAAACAAGATATCCCATGATATATTTAAGGTGACAAAACCTCTATAGCTACAAAGCAGACCATAGGTTATCATCTCACAAAAACTAATGGTGCCCCTAGAAATAGAACAAAGAAGACGAGAAAAAAAATGATCTGCTTATTCATATGATTCCCTGACAAAATTTGGCAACCAAATAAATAGCAAAACAATCAAGAATAAGTAAAACATAAAAGTGTTATCGCAGAGGAGATAATTCATCTTACAAGATTATTTCAGCCGAAGTTTTTTCTTTATTTTATTGTAATTTGCAGTATTCCGGAGAAAGTAATTGAAAGCTGGGAAATTCACAGTTTAACTAACCATGGAATTGGACAAATTCCCAACAAATTTTTAGCTGTATGCACTGATCTTAATCTACTGTTTGCTACTAGCATGAATAACTTAACCTTTACTCCATATTGCTACCTGGCAACCAGAGTGTGAGCTTCCATGTGATGGACACCAACAAGAGGTAAATTATGAGAACCGGCAACACTTCTTGCTTTCCGCACACCAACTACACATAAATTGAACAAATAAGGTACAAGGACTTACACAAGGTTCATTAGTTGTCCCAAAATGCATCTGTGTCCCACACGAATATCCCCAATGTTTAATTTTTCAGATTCATAAGTAGTCTATGTTAGAAATTGACAAATATTAACGAATTAAGAACAATACTTCAGTCTAAAAAAAAATAGGCACATTAATTGGTGCGGGGAGGAGAGGAAAAAGAGAAAGAAAAAAAATGATCAGCGCTCCCGAAGGAAAAATTAAAACAAACCAAAAGAAAGAAAGGCTACTAAAGCAAAGACTGAATAAAAACTTACTTCGCAAACAAAGGCTTAAACCAGGACCAATCGTGACAGCAACTGCAGTTAGATCCTTCTCAGTTAGATTAGCTTTATCTAGTGCTTCTTGTACCACCTGAAGGGAATAAGTACACATTGATCGCAGGAATACATGACAGAAATATGATGTGTCAATTCATATTAAGAAGCTAACAGTCTTAAAAGTGTGAGAGATGTAGAATAATGAGTCAAATTGTAACAAGAAGAGAACTTGAGGCAGGGTCCTTTGGAATGATATCCACATTTGCTCCTTGAGACAACGATGTGAAGCCTCAGAAAAACAAAACCGAAAAGATATTTGAAAGTTTTCTATTATGGAATCATAGTCTATCAATTAGAATTATGATTAAGAGTATCTGTTAACTATTCTCTAAGGGATATAGATCATCAATCAGTTGAATTCATTCTAATTCATTGAATTAATCCATGATATAAAATATCAGAAAAAGAAGGGAGTTTACATTATTACTTTTTTCCTCGTTGGAAGAGACCCCACTGATTTTCCAGTTCATTAGGGAGTGTTTTTTGGAGTACTGAATAATAGGAGTATTCTTCTTTGATCATTTCCCAAGAAGTTTATAAACTTAGCCTTAGCAAAAGATGATCGAACAAGTCAAGCCACAAGAGGACATCTTTAAATCTAAAGCAAAAATAAGCCCAGACCAGAACTTCTCTCTTCTTTCCAGTTTATCATAATCAAATATGGGGGGAAAAGAAGAAAAATACAGAGAGAGAGAGACTTTCAAGTACAGGAGAGACCCCAAGGTAAGTTTTTTCAAAAGCTTTTATCATATTTTTCAGTACCTAACTACCTATATTAAGTTGAGCATTTTGATTGTGTGCTGTCTTTGTTTGGGGTTATGAGAAATGATTGTTGAGTAAATGAGCCTCTGATAGTTTCTCAGTAAGGGATAGGATGGAGACTGTTTATCCAACTCGTGCGAACTTCTCTTGGATAGTGGTGGCAGCATCTAAGAGAAGCTTTTCCTTGGGGCATTTAGTTGAGCCATTAGGTAAAATTTAACAGTAGACATATCTCCTTAAAAAAAATATTGATACTATGGTTTTTAATGAACACTTATCTATTAAGTTCATGTCACTACCATGAAGCATAGTCTGGATGCTGGAGGAGATCCTTAAGAGGGAATAATTCCAGGGAATATAATAATACTTTAAAAATATATATCAAGGAAAACTGCAAAAATAAACAAAAGATGCCAATTCAAATTTCTGCTATCTAGTGAAAAGTGAGGTAGTACAAAAGGGTCGAAAGGGAACCTTATCTGCACAAACAGAAATACAGAACATCACTAAACAGGACATAAAATCATGATGCCAAAAGGAAATGTTCAATTGGTTTAGTGAAACATCTAGCATGTGAAATCAAACAAACTACTTGATCAGAGTTCATTGACATTATAAAACCTGATAATGCTGATGTTTAGCAAGAAGTTGAGTACTTTGCAAATTGATGTATTCTCAATCGTCTTATTGAAAAAAGAAGAAGTAACATGCAGGATCGTGGTATGACACCTAAACAAGACGCACACTTGATACTACCGTAACACTTTCCACCAGTGATCAACAGTGTCCAAGTTCTTGAAACAAAGTACTTCAGGGTTGACAGCATATACCTGATCAATCACCAGAGCATGTGCTTCCTCTGCCATCTTAGGAGCAACTCCTCCATATCTAGCAAGCAGTTCTGCCTTGATGATATATGGAACCTCAAGATTAGAAGAAAGACCACATAATGTGGGCACACAAAAATAGTATAATTTGGATAACTTCTCGAAGTTACTATTCTTTAGAGCATTGAGAAATTCCCTGAGCAATTAACATGAAGAAAGAACAGTGGTGTGAACAGATAACAAATTATGCAGTATAAGAATATAAAAGAACGATGCTTAGGATCACTTCCCATATTATGTTGACTACTCTGCCATGCATAGGAATACATCAACCTCTAAGGGGCTTTCATTAACAAAACAGCCCCATTAAATATCCTCCTTCTACTATTTGCATAATGTTCATTTATGAGGGGTGGAACAGACTCAAGACGTAACCTAGGGCTAGGTTATAAATATACTCCTTCCCTTCACTTGTAACCCATCTGATGAGTATCACAATAGCTCTATTGCACTTCGAATTGTAACTCAAGCTTTTGTTTTCCCGGTGACATTGCCAGACGATTACACTGGAAAGCAGCTTAACAAGATTCTTCCTCTTTTACTCGTTTCACTGTTTACTAATTTTCCTTGTTACTTGAATTATACTCATTAGCAAGTAATTTAGCACCAAAACCATACTGTTTGGTCACTATAATGTGTGTGCCCTTGAACCACTAAAACAAATTCAATTGTTATCCTAAGTCATTGATTTAGGGGTAAACAATACTTGCATCTTTATATGTATAAATAGGAAAATGAATAGAAATCGTGCATACCAGCAAACAATGTGGAACATGACATTTGTCATTCTAGACAGACCCCAACTATTTACATAATGATGCAAAAATAAATGAGTAAACAAGCCTTCAACTAAAACAATGTAATGAACACAAGATAATAAGTACCCAATAGTTTATCAGTAGTCATTAATTTAACAGAACAAGATAATAATATAAACTAAATGATAATTCTCCAGACTTTCTATAACTACTTAAATACATATAAAGTACCTGCGAAGAGATAACTTGGCTGAGAATTTCACCATTGCTATTAACCTACAAATGGATATCACTAAACTCAATAAAAGAAGAAACTTTGCACAGCCCCACAAACAGGGGTGGAGCTAGAAGCCAAGTTTGGCCGAACCTAATAGCTTTCTGTATTTGTATTAAGAAATTCACTAAACATGTAAAACAAAAATTAAAATTTATAACCAAGTTACTAATAGCTAATGTCGATATCCTGAAATTTAAAAAACCTATAGAGTTCAAACTTAGCTCCGCCACAAAAGTAATTTCAAAGAAACTAGCAAAGAAGTTACCACAGCGGCGGCAGTATCATCACAACTCGTTTCAATGCCTAAGACAACCAAATTTTCATTTTCTCCCAGTATTTGATTCTGGGTTTGAACATTAGAAGCTGAAGTAGAACAATAAGCTGAAAAAGATTTGAACAGTTGAGGCTTTACTGCTTTGTTATGCAATTGCAATTTGCTTGTCGCTTTGAATGTGAGGTGAATTGAGGGTCTCCATAGCAGCCTTAGACGAGAAATTGGTGAAGACAAATTGGGTAATAAGGAAACCATTTCCACAGAGTAGGATGAGGGCTTTACTGCAAAAACCTCACTCCAGTTATATAATGTTATATGTATGTGAAATTAAAAAAATTCCGATATCCGCATTAGAACAATTTTCGGAATTACTTAAACTCGAGAACTTTGGTTTAAGAAAAGAGTACATAATTTAATTTTAATTATACTAGACATAAAATAAGTAAATAAATTTAAATTGAGAAAATATTCAAATTTATTATTATTGAATGAAGATAATGATAAAAATGACCCTTTATCTTTAATAATCAATATAGTAGGTTTAAAATGTTCTTTAAAGTATTATTTGAACATTTTTGATAGTTTGTTGAAACAAGCATTATTGCTATCAAATATTTGTCAAATTCTAATTTTAAATTTAACTGAAACGAGAGAATATTGGTAAATGATAATTCACATTTATAAGTTCAAATTTTGAGGTTTATGTTATTTTTTATTGGTCATTTGAAGGGTAAATCATGCAATTAAATAATTTTTTAAATCTTAATATTTCCGAAGAAATCATGTTTTTCTTGTGGTGGAGTGATAAGTATTCCTTCATCCTTAACCAAGAAATCTCGAATTCGAATCCCCTTTGGTACGGAATCGCCTTTGTTAGGGAGCGTTGCGCAAATCCATTGTTTGTCATGATGTTGGTACGATTGATAGAAGATTGTTTTGTTCGGGTTTGAGCTCTAAGAATGAAAGAAACCATACTAGAGAGGATTTCGATTTAATAAGTCCTTTGTAATTCAATCTGTTGGCAATATCAATTGTACGATACACATCGGAAAAGGTCAAATTTCCCCTTGCGCTATTTGAATTTTGAGCAACCTTGCCATCCATTTAACTCTTGGTCTAATATTACCCTGTCGTTTGAAAAAAAAAAACTCATTTCATGTTGAAGCTCCGTTAATGGCATGGGAAATCATGAGTCGATTTGCCAACGAGGGTATGGATAAATCAAAATCAAACGAAAGGCAAAAGTTGCTCAATTTCATATAATACAAAAGATGAAGAATACATATGCCTCTTCTAATTCCTTTGTACAACAACAGTACACTCAGTGTAATCCTACAAAGTGGGGTCTGAAAAAGATAGATCGTTTACAGACCTTAACCAACCTCAGAGGTAGAGAGGTTATTCCCGATAGACCCTCCGCTCAAGAAAAACAGTCCAAAGCAGAACATTCTGAACTGTAACTGCAGTAAAATAGGCTCAGAGAAGATAATATTCAGCAAAAACTAGTTAAACTTCAAGACCAGTGCAAAATGCATACTGAAACAACACCCAAACTCAGCAATCTCTAATAGCTTCAGTTTTATCTCTTCACTGGGAAGACACCAAAACAATAAAGAAACCACCAGGCACCAGCCCAGCTCACCCCCTCCCCAACAAACTAAAGTAAAACAATAAAGAAACCTCCATACTAAGCGTTTTACATACCATTTCATAGGACTTACCTGAAGCCCTGGAAACAGAAGTTCCAAGTGAGCAAATACACAAATTAGACTAACAACAACAACATACACAGTGAAATCCCATTGGTGTGGTGGAATCTCGGGAGGGTAGGGTGTACGCAGACCTTACCCCTACCTCGTGGAGGTCGGCTTATACAAATCATTGAGACTAACTAGTCTCATACAAATTTAGAGTAAGTAGTAACAAATTGGTAGCACAACCAAAAAAACGCCCATACAAATCCTGGCCAGAAAGAGATACAATCATTGATGATAGGCTCTCAGCAGTAGCAGCATCTATCACTTTAATAAGAAAAACAATAACAAAACCCAACAAAATCAGTGATTTACAAACATTTTATAGGACTGACCAGAAGCTCTGGAAACAGCAATTCTAAGCAAGCAAATACGCAAATTAGGCTAACTAGTAACCAGTTGCTGCAATAAGAAAAAGCATCCCTACAAATCCTGGCCAGCAATGGATAGCATCTTTGACGAATGTCCCTTTGAAGTAGCAGCACCTATCACTTTGACATGAATTGTTTGGATTATAGTACACAAAAAGGAGTTTGTTGACAAATGGAGCACATTCAATTGTGCAGTTTGAAGCAAAGAACTTGCACACCACTATACTCTCGTTGTTTACACAACTCTCTGCATCCAAAGCTAGTAATATAAACCTGAGCCTGAATGATTCTCCTTCCCAATTTTAAACACATGTATAATATTAACTCCTACCTTTGGCCTCATCTTGCTCAAAAAGGAATTGACTTTTCCGTGTAACATCGGCCAATTGAACAAGTAATGATTTGAAAATGCCTCTCTCAACATGGAATATGTCAAAGTACGGGATTAAATGATTATGCCAACTTATGAAGCAACCATTTGCACATGCCATCCTTGCAAACAAACTCATAAAAGACACTGAGTGCCTTCAGTATAACTATATCCAGTATGTCTCTTTCTCATCCAAATTGCTGAAACTTGAAGATCCTATTGGCGGATGAATTACTTGCTCATACTGGAAATTGAAAAATCACACAGCTAGGATTCCTACTCAAAGCTTTCATAGGTTTACATAAGCATGCTGAATAAATAGTAGACAACCATTTTCACCAGATACTAACATTGCAATTACAGAATATTTCCTTGTCATACAAAAACCAAAGTCGTCCCCCTTAAAAAGTGCATAGACAAATGTTCACGTATGCCTGGGTGTCATGCATCCCGTTGCCCCACATAATCTTATTAAAAAAAGATATATGTGCTGACAAATGTATGATAAAAATGCACCCATGGGAGGACATTCGAAAGTACAACACTACTATACATTACCAGCCAGTTCGATAAAGCTGAATAAATTACTCACAGAGACACAGACCTAAAAAGTAAGCTTTTGCTTATAAGTGAGTACTCACAGTGGACAACATATAATTACAAATAATGCATGTTTTTGCTCTGATATTATCCACACAATTCATCACTTGGAAATGAATCTAATCAGAGAGTTAATATCCTATTCTATTGGGCAATTTTGATGGCATTGAGAATGATCAGAGAAGCAAAAAGGCAAATACTCAAAGTAGCAACAAACCATTGCTTTAGTTCTGCTTATGTTCCTTTACAATAAGATTGGCATTCAAAGTAAACCATGGATTATGCCTCTCTTTTTTTTGATAAGTAAATCATGGTTCGTGCCTATTAAAAATGAATTGTAGATGGAGAAAGTAAGATCATGGTATTATAGCTAATCATCCTTTATGGATATGTGGAAAGGTAGAGAAACAAACACAATATTTCTTTCAAGAAAGGTGGTAATATCAAGGTAACAACTACAGGCAATTCATGAGTCCAAAAAAATATATCATACGGGATAAGAATCTCCAATGTATGTGATTCTACATGTAGAAATAAGGCATTCAAGAAACAGTTGATCAAACCCACAAACTATCAATGACCAAGGTCGCAGTCCATTGATGTGCCTAGAGAACAAGTGAACACTTATTTAAAGCAAATAGACAGTTCTATAACTAGTAAGTATGCTAATAATGAAAGGATTCATTGAACTGTTGAAATCACTGTCCATTTTGACATTAAAAGAGTTACATACAATTCGATTGTGTAATATCCTGTACTACTCCCCCACCTCATCTCACCTCCCTAACTAAAAGTAACCAAATAAAAAGAAAAACAACCAAGAAAAAAAAAACATAAAAGCAGTGCTTACATACATTTCATAGGAATAACAGAACCCCTGGAAACAGAACTTCTATTCAAGCAAATACACAAATTAGACTAACTAGTGACCACTTACTAGCGAGTAGTGACAATAACAAAAAACATCCATACCAATCCAGACCCGCAAGAACACCAACTTCTGCAACAATATGAGATGGCTTATGCCTCGGCAATAGCAGTGCCATCACTTTGACAAGAATTCTTTGAATTCTGGTACCAAAGAAGGTTAGCTGTCAAATGGAGCACTCTGAATCTTTTGGTGTAAGTCAAGAGAAAACAAAGCACACGAATAAAGCAACGCGACTTGCAGACGACTGTACAGATCTCTTTGTTTTACCCTATTCCATGCCTTTTAAGCCAGTTAGATAAACCTGTGTCTGAATGATTGTACTCCCAATTTTAAACCCAGGCACCACAGAAAATCCCACCTTTGGCCTCGTCTTGCTCAAAGGGAATTGAATTTTCCTTGTAACATCTTCCATGTAGACCATCGAGAAGTCCACCCCTCTCTCAACTTGGAATATCTCAACTACAGGATTAAATGAGTATGCCAACTTATGAAGCAGCCATATTGTACTAGCCATCCTTACAAACAACTCATAAAACACACTTAACGACTTCCATGAATCCACTATGACTTCTTTCCCATCCAAATCCCTGAAAATCGATGATTCTATTGTAGGATGAATTATCTGCTCATACTTCTTATCACAATATCTTGAAAATGCACAACTAGGATTCTTACTCAATGTCTCCATTGGATTACATGAAACATGCTCAAGTAATTGTTTCAAATAATCATTCTCATCAGATATTGATCCATCAGACAACATTTCTTCATCACACAAACCAAAGTCTTCCAGATCAAACCCCTTAAACATACCTAAACAAATATATGACAGAAATGCATATTTATGGTGTTCTTTTTCTGCATAATTAACATCAGAATACACAGAATTAGCTGCTTTCTCCAAATCCCAACTTGCCCTTTTCATTAACTCCATCAATAACTTAGAAAATTTATTTACTGACTTAATCGAATCGCGTAGCATAGATTCAAAAACACGAACTGTACACAATACCTCCGTAGTACTACTATTTGACTTTTCATTTTCTACCCCTAATTTTTTAGACAAACTCAAATTAGAATCTTGAATTTTATCCAATTTCTTCCTCAAAATTGAAACTTCTTCATCTTTAGACTCCATATAAGACAGTAATTGATTTACCATAGTCTCCAAAACTCTGAGCTTGCTCTGATGCTCCTGAACCTGAAATTCCAGCTCTGACCCCATAAGAACATCAATATTACAACTTGGGTTTCTCCTGAAATC